CCAACCACCTATTGAACCATTAAAGCCACATCTTTTTCATTAATGAAGTATAATATTTTTAAAATCCTCACATAAAGTTGATTTTATAGTGGCAGCACTGGTGGTATTAAACAATGTTTGTACTTTAACAATGTTATATGTCAATTATATCTCAATAAAACTGGAAGAAAATTATAAGCCAAAAACAGAAAAAGAAACAATGTTATGTATGTGGGTTTTTTTTTTTTTACCATAATTAAAAAAAAAAATGACTCATTTTTCTCATTCCTTCTGAAACCGGAATCAGGCATTTGTCCTTGTGTTCAACTTAATCTTTCCAATGCCTAAAATGTAATAATTAATTTTCCAATCTCGTTGTATGTAAAAAGCTATTCATTCTTCAGGGAGGTGAGTCACCACCAGTGGAGGCCAGTATGACAACAGAAGGCTTGCAGTCTCCAAGCACAAGCCAATAATTGGGCAAGAGCCCACAAATCAGTAACAATTTCACTCTTTGGAGAGAGTCAGACATCAGACATGACAGGGCCATCTAGTTTGTGGTAGATAGTCATATGTTTTAAGATACATCAAACTCAGAGTCAATGATGACAGTTCTTTTCTCAGTGGCTCAATTCGGATTGTCTTAAATTTCAACCCTTTCAGGCAACAACAATGTTCCAATCACAGTTCTATGCAGTGTTACAGCCATTTTCTTAATATAGTAAAGCTAAGATTGCCACCAGCTCTCCTAGACAAACTTTTGATACTACAAAATCTTATCAAATGTTGCCAAATTTTTACTTATTGTCCAAAGATGGAACCCTGATAAAATTAATGTAAAAGGTTTATCACTTGCTACCTTGTAATGAAAATAAATGTCCTGTTAGAAATCTGGTTACGAGGTTAGTCTAATAATAACAATTTCAAAGCAGAATTGCCTGCTAGATCAAAGGACTGACTCGTTGGGAGATAACAATTCTGTATTTTAAGCTTCCCAGTCTGTTTCACTTTAAAGAGACATTTTAATAAAGACTCTAAGTCTCATTCATGTTTGTATTGCTCACAGCACCCCGCATGCTGCCTTGCCTATCTTGGGAATGCAATAAAATATTTGCTGAACCCAGTTCCTGACAACCAACATTAAAGCCTTCCCAAAGCGAGTGCAGGGGAAACAAAGAACCCACAAACGTATTTCTAATATGATTCACAACACAAATCTGAATAACGTTTCCAGGAACTTACTCCCTTTAAAAAATGTGTACTTCTACAATATTTTAAATTGGGTGCTACTTATATAGAAAATGCAACTAAAGCTAACGTTATTTTTACACTTAGTTCCTCATTTGACAGAAATTTATCACAAGTAACATCACCCCACTATGTGCGCCCTATCACACGTCAACTCTCCCAGACGAAAAAGAAGGTATAGCGTCGTTAAACTTGGGTGCAATGGGTTTCTAAGCCCAAATGCAAATTATTTCACCATTAAAACATTAAAATAACTAAATTGCTAACAAAACCAAACAGGAACAAATGAGAGAATATTGGAGGAAAAAAAGTGCTGCCTGAAAATAGGGACAGAGGGACTCTCGTCCTTGCTTAGCCATTAATTTACTATACGACCTTATCTAATTAGTTAGCCTCTCTGGGTCTCAACTTCCACGTTTTAGTATTATTTTTAAGGCCCTTTCAAACTACATGCTAAGATTCAGCATGTGTAGCACTGTCCTGAAAACTGATTTACATTCATACTGCCCTCCCCCCCAAAAAAGTCACATTTTACATCGCAGCTTTAAATATCTGAGTATGGATTTCTATCAAAGGCAATTTATTAAAATGTCAGATGAGCTTAAGTCCACTTCTAGTGGAGAATTAAGGCAAGTCTATTAAAGCAAGTATTGCTTACAGATTCAAGTTTCACCTAGACAGCAGCTGCTGCTTCTGAGAGAACAGCCTGTCTTTAACAGGGTAATTGAAAATTACACCTCTTTACAAATGGAGAAAATTAGTAAGGGTGAATTTCATGGTCTCAAAAACTCAGATGCACAGCTTTTCTTTTCCATTCTTTTTCCTTTTCTATATTCCTCTTGTTAGGATAGAGGAAAGCACAAGGGCTAGCTTGACTTGAGAGGCAGAGAAAAGAGTGCGGAAGTTACAGCACAGACCCAGACAAGCCGCCCTCAATTGATGTCCTGAACCAGACAGCCCATCCCGCTAATTAGTGCTCACAACCCGAACGAAGCGAAAAGATTTCCTGTGGCTGGGATGGGAAGATGCCTGAACAAGTGTGGAATGCCATATGACAATAGCTAACCTAAAGTCTGCAGACTTGCACTCAAGATGGCATTCAGAACATTCTGAAAAGGGCCAATAAGATAAAAATCTGTGACCGAGACCAGGTGGACAAAGTTATGATCCGTATCTATTCATAGCTTTAAAAGGAACGTATTTTGAAAGTACCATTTGATAACAAACGGCACTAGCTTGTATGGTACTTTATCATATACATAGCAAGTTAAATCAAAGTTAATCCTCAAAGAATTCCATCAAGTATTTTTTAACTCATTTCACAGATGAAGAAACAACATATGAAGAATTAGGGGATTTGCCCAATAGCAAATGGTTAGCAACTGTGAGGGCCTTGTTTTAAACTCAACCTGACTTCAAGTCCTCCAATCTTTATATTTCAAAATGGTACCTCTGACACCAGTTTTCAGTCCCTACTATTTCGTTTGATTTAGTCAATTTTGTTTTTCACAAAATTGCTTCCCCCCACAACCCAAATCTGCTCCTCCTCTGGGTTCTCAAAGCTTTCTATGCAGAATTCTCCAAACACTTACACACTTACTAGGCCTTCTAATTGTTCATTTCCTTTTCTCCCTGGCTAGACTCATTTCTTCAACAGCAAAGATAGTCTTATCTTGCTTTATAGATGAAAGCCAACATGCAGATTAATCTTCATTCCCTGTGACCTCCCAAGCTTCAACCACTCCACCCAACTCTCTCTCCCATCCAACTAGAACACTCCACAAAGCTAGCAGGCATTCGGATTGCTTCCAGAGGGCCTGACACACAATAAGTGATTAATAATTGTTAGCTGAATGGATGGTGGGTGAGTGGACGATGCAATACTCATAAATATTTTACAGCACTTTACAAGGTCCACATTTACATATGGCATTCCATGTGAGTCTAAAACTGTGAATTTGATAGTGTTCATCTAAATTTTCTTTCTGAAGTGTGGTTCATCATCCTTAAGTCCAGAAACTTGCCCAGAGGTGCAGAGCTAGTAAGTCGTAACCTTTCAACTTCAGAAATGGCCCACAAGACTACCTTACTCTCTTTGTCTTCATTTCCAAGATAGCTGTTTTAGAACAGGCTTGAATTTGAATCGGTCTATTAGACCGTGGACGAGGCGTTGTCCCATTCTGTTTTCCTGTTGTGAAATCTGAGACTTCTGAAAATTTGTGGGTTACAGGTTAGATCAAGAAAGGAGACCTTACTCAAACAAGGAGCCATGACAAAGGAACTCTAAACAAGCAGCGTGTAAGAATTTACTGATTCCACTTCCCTGTCCACACACACCATGACCAGTCCTCGGCTGGCTTGCTTGCTCATTCAGACCGTTAAAGTAGAACAGGTGATGACACAGACTTCACTTCTAACCTTAATTTTCTAAGCCTGTAAACACAGATTCATTAGCTAAAACGGCACCAGGCGGACTGAACTGAAAGCCAGAAGACAGACCTCCAGTCCCACTCACACACACTGACTCTGTAGTGCAGGTCCAGCGAGCGCTGAGGGGAGTGATTTCAATGTAAATGATAAAATGCGGTAAGGTGCTACCCAATGTTTACTAAGCAGAGGAAGTGCCTACTGCACTTTCTTCTGCTTTGCCCAGAAATGCAAACTCAAAAGAGCCCTTTGCATAGCTAACCAAAGGCACAGGGGCCTCCCTCACATCAGGTGAAACCTCTCTCCATCCCCCTTCCTCTAAATTCTTCTCACTTCGTACCTTCTTCTCACGGAGACATCTGCACACCCTCCACACGTGCAATTATGCAAGATCGCATCACACTGTCACACTGAAACAAGGAGAGTGAACACAAGCCAATGAGAGGCTCCTGTGCGGAAGGAAAGTTCTCAAAATTATTAAGCACTCTCTCCTTAACCCCTACTGCTGATGAAAGCAGACATATATCAAAGCCTGTTTTCCCAACCTTATGTGAAGAATTTGAGTAGTTTCCGCTCCATGGCGCGGTCTGGTGACATGTCACATCAACCCTCAGCAGAGAGCATCCAGGGACGTCAGGACCTTGGTTTTATCGCAAGGGATGTAGCAACTAGCATTAACTGCAGCACTTCGCCAAGACCTCCCAACTCTGCAGAGGAAAGCTGGGAGTGGGGTCCAGTGCTAATGCTTTCCCCAGCTTTCAACAAAGCTGCACGCGATGTTAAAGCCTCGCCTTTCCTTAACAGAAAGCCGGGTTGGGGGGGCGAAGGGCCCCCCAACCCAGGGGAATAGTAAAGAGACAAAGATCACCCAGAACGCGTATGCGCGCGCGCAGTGAAGTCCAGACTCTGCAATGCACATTCCATCAACCTTTCACTGTAGTCGGCTTCCTGTGGGGTTTATTCCCCCACCCCAGCCCTCTCCAGAAAGTTTAAGGCTGTTCACACCGACTTTCAAAGGTCCATTGTTTCCTTGCCCGTAAACGTAATGAAAAGAGAGAGGGAGAGAGAAATCAAGACGTGGTTCCCAAAGACCCTTTCTTACGGAGAGGACTTACTCCGGGGGAGTCTCGTTACTCCTAATCCAGAGAGAGAAAGGCGGCGCGCGGGGGGAGGGCAGAGGGTGCTGCGGGGGGCGGGAGGATGTTTTCCGTTTCGGCAGAAATGCCCAAATGCCAGGCCACCAGGAGCCGGGTAAGTGCGGGGGGACCGCTGTCCGCGTCCTCGCAGTGGCCCCGAACGGGCAACGAGAGGCAGGGCGGAAGGCGGGTGGCCCCGTCGCTTCTTACCTTCCCCTCCCCCGCTTAGCGTCGGCTAATTCAGGTGCCTACACAGCGGTCCAAAGAGACGGAGCCGAGCTCCTGGCGTCCCCGGGTCCGGATCGTCCCTCCATGGCCCAGGAGCCCCTCGAGCCCCGGCGCCCGCCGCCGCCGCCGCTGCTGCTTTTACGCAAGTGGCAGCCGCAGCCTCTGCCTGGAGGTGAAACACTCTCCTCCCGGGAGTGACGCGCACTTCCCTCCGCCTCCGCCTCCGCCTCCGCCTCCTCCAGCCCCGAGCCTCGGGAACAGGGGCCTCGGCTCGCTCTCTCCCGGAGCAGACGCTCGGCTTTCTCCGCTCCTTCCCCTCCAGAAGGAAGAGGAGGAGGAAAAGGTGGAGGAGGGCGCGGGCCGGAGCGTCCCCGCGACAATGGAGAGGAGGCGGCAGAGCGGGGTCCCGGGAGTCGCGCTTGTCCCTGGTCGGCGGGCGCCGCGGCTCGCTAGCGTCGCGCTCAGCCTCCGCCGGCCAGACAAGCTGCCCGGCTCTGCTGGGCCGAGGGCTGCGGATTGGGCGGGCGGGCGAGACGAAGGAGGCGGAGGGAGAGGAGGAGCCTGCGGCCGGCGGAGGCGGCGGCCGCGCAGGGCTCCTCCCGCCGCCCCGCTGCGCGCGAGCTGCGGCCGCCGGCACTCAGCGCCTCTCGCTGCGGCGCCCGGGAACAGCGCCCGAGCGCACCGCGGCTGGGGCAGGGCCCCCCACCAGCGCCCCCAGCTGCGGCTGCCAAGTGCTACCCGTGCGCGCCGCGCGCATCCGGCCTAGATGCACCCTGAGGCTGCGCCCCACCGTCACCTCCGGGCTGAACCTGAGCCTGTGCCCCCATCACCTCCGGGCTGAACCTGAGCCTGCGCCCCATCACCTCCGGGCTGAATCTGAGCCTGCGCCCCACCACCACCCCCTGGCCAAGCCTGACTGTACCCCAACCCCCCGCAGCTGAGCCTGACTCTGCGCCCACACTACCTCCGGCTGAGCTGGACTCTGGTGTCCTCAACACCCCCAGCAGAATTTGACACTGCGGCCCCTTCACCCCACGGCTGAGCTGGACACTGGACCTTCATCGCTCCCGGCTGAGCCTGACTCTGCGCCCCACCATCCCCAAAGGGACTTCCACAACTCCCGACTGCCGCACCACGGCCGCCCCCACCTGGCCAACCACGGGCGCTGGGTTCTTCGCCCTTTCCGAAGAACCACCCTGCTTTCGGACTCAGGACAGCTCCTCTGGCAGCTCTGAGCGGCCCCAACACTCCGCTCTCATGCCAGAATAAATATACCCACGGCTCCCCACGCCCCCTGCCCACGCCACTCTGGAGTGGCTGCCGCTTGCAGGAGTGGCGCTCAAAGCCACTCCCCCGCCCACCCCAAAGCCGAAGTACCTCTCTATGGCTGTCCGCAACTGGGCTGGAGTAGCCCGGTCGCCGCCCCCTCGCTGGAACTGCTCTCACCCTGGAAAAGTTTTGGCTCCGGCTGAGGGCGCGACCCGCGCTTGATCAGTCAGACCCAAGAGGTCCCGAGCTAGTGACAGCAGCAGGACTGCCAAATCCTGGTCGTCATCATCCTCTATTTAATTCGGAGTTGGAAGTTTTCCCGCTAGGGAACTCTTTCAGTGAATACTGTACAGATAGGATTGTTCAGTTTTCAGGGTTGCTTTTTTTTCCCCACCCTTTTAATAAAAACTCAGTCCTGTAACCATGACACACCCAGCAGGCGAGAAGGGGAATTCCCTGTTTCGAGGGTTTTGGTTCAGGGCTTTGTAAAATTTAATGTTTCCAAGTCTTGGTGATGATAAGAATCCCCTGGGGCACTTTGAAAAAACTTGGATTGCCAGACCTCGCACAACCCACAGAGTTAGAGGTGCCAGGAATATATAAGTTTGCGAAACAGGGCGAGAGTGCATCCTCGAATTAATTAAAACCTTGAAAAGATGCCTCCAAAATAGAAACACGGTCTAAGTGCTGAGAACTTAAAAAACCTTACACAGCTTTGGGAGCCACCATCCCTCTGGGAGAGGGAGGAAGGTTCTTAAAATAAGGCAGATGGTGTTTTTTTAAAAAAATTATTTTATTGGGTCATATTGGCTTACAACATTGTGTAAATTTCAGATGTACATCACTATAGTTCAGTTTCTGTATGAACTGCATCATGTTCATGCACCACCACCAGTCTGGTTTTTATCTCTCAGGGTACGTACGTCCCCCTTTACCCCTTTCTCCCTCCCCCCACCCCCTCTCCTCTGGTAACCACTAATCGATTCTCCTTATCTGTGTGCTTGTTTCTTTTCCACATATAAGTGAAATCATATGGTATTTGTCTTTGACTTACTTCCCTCAGCATAATATCCTCAAGGTCCATCCATGTTGTCACAAATGGCAGAATTTTATCTTTTTTATGGCTGAGTAGTATTCCATTGTGTGTGTGTGTGTGTGTGTGTGTGTGTGTGTGTGTGTGTGTATATACACCACGTCTTCTTACATCTTGGCTATTGTGAATATGCTGCAAAGACCATAGGAGTGCATATATCTTTTTGAATTATTGATTTCATGTTCTTTGGGTAAATACCCAGTAGTGGAAGAGCTGGATCATATGGAATTTCTATTATTAATTTTCTGAGAAATCTACATACTGTTTTACATGGTGGCTGCACCAGTTTGCATTCCCACCGGCAGTGTATGAGTGTTCCCTTTTTTCCACAACCTCTCCAACACTTATTTCTTGTCTTGTTAATAATAGCCATTCTGACAAGTGCAAGGTAATATCTCATTGTAGTTTTGATTTCCATTTCCCTAATAATTAGTGATGTTGAACATCTTTTCATGAGCCTGTTGGCCATCTGTGTATCTTCTTTGGGTTCATTTCCTCTGTCCATTTTTTGATCGGGTTGTTTGTTTTTTTGTTGTTGAGTTGTATGAATTCTTTATATATTTTGGAGATTAACCCCTTCTCGGATATGTGATTTGCAAATATTTTCTCCCAGTTGGTGGATTGTCTTTTCATTTTGTTCATGGTTTCCTTTACTGTGCAGAAGATTTTTAGTTTGATGTAGTCCCATTTGTTTATTTTTTCTTTTGTTTCCCTTACCTGAGTAGACATGGTATTCAAAAAGATGCTGCTAAGACTGATATCAAAGAATGTACTGCCCATGTTTTCTTCTAGCAATATTATGGTTTCAGGTCTTACATTCAAGTCTTTAATCATTTTGTCTTAATTTTTGTGTATGGTGTAAGATAATGGTCTACTTTCATTCTTTTACACATGGCTGTCCAGTTTCCCCAACACCACTTATTGAAGGGACTTTCTTTTCTCCACTGTATGTTCCTGGCTCCTTTGTTGAAGATTAGCTGTCCGTAGATGTGTGCTTTTATTTCTGGGCTTTCAATTCTGTTTCAATGATCTGTGTGTCTGTTTTTGTGCCAGTACCAGGCTGTTTTGATTACTATAGCTTTGCAGTATATTTTGAAATCAGGGAGTGTGATACCTCCAGCTTTGTTCTTTTTTCTCAGGATTGCTTTGGTTATTTGGAGTCTTTTGTTGTTCCATATAAATTTTAGGATTCTTTGTTCTATTTCTGTGAAGAATGTCATTGGGATTCTGATTGGGATTGCATCGAATCTGTAGATTGCTTTAGGTAATATGGACATTTTAACTATGTTTATTCTTCCAATCCATGAGCATGGAATATCTTTCCATTTCTTTATGTTCTTTTCAATCTCTTTCAATAATGTCTTGTAGTTTTCAGTGTATAGGTCTTTCACCTCCTTGGTTAAATTCATTCCTCAGTATTTTATTCTTTTTATCGTGATTGTAAATGGGATTGTAGTCTTGATTTCTCTTTCCGCTATTTCATTGTTAGTGTATAGAAATGCAACTGATTTTTGTAAGTTGATTTTGTACCCTGCAACTTTGCTGTATTTGTTGATTATTTCTAATAGTTTTTCGGTGGATTATTTAGGGTTTTCTATACATAGAATCATGTCATCTGCACATAGTGAGAGTTTTACTTCTTCCTTTCCAATTCGTATCCCTTTCATTTCTTTTTCTTGCCTAATTGCTCTGGCCGAAACTTCCAATACTACGTTGAATAAGACTGGTGAGAGTGGGCATCCTTGTCTTGTTCTTGTTCTCTGAGGAATAACTTTCAGTTTTTCAAGATTGAGTATGATGTTGGCTATAGGTTTGTCGTAGATGGCCTTTATTATGTTGAGGTACTTTCCTTCTATACCCATTTTATTGAGTTTTTCTCATACATGGATGTTGGATCTTGTCAAATGCTTTCTCTGCATCTATTCAGATGATCATGTGATTTTTCTTCTTCGTTTTGTTAATGTGGTATATCACATTGATTGATTTTTGTATGTTGAACCATCCTTGCATTTCTGGAATAAATCCCACTTGATCATGGTGTATGATCCTTTTAATGTATTGTTGTATCCAATTTGCTAATATTTTGTTGAGGATTTTTGTATCTATGTTCATCAGCTATACTGGCCTGTAATTTTCCTTTTTTGTGTTGTCCTTGGTATCAGGGTAACGTTGGCTCATAGAATGAGTGAGAAGTGTCCCATTCTTTTCAATATTTTGGGATAGTTTGAGAAGGATAGGTATTAAACCTTCTTTGAATGTTTGGTAGAATTCACGAGAGAAGCCATCTGGTTCTGGACTTTTGTTTTTTGGGAGGATTTTGATTACTGTTTCAATCTCTTTGCTTATGATTGGTCTGTTCAGATTCTCTGTTTCTTTTTGATTCAGTTTTGGGAGATTGTATGATTCTAAGAATTTATGCATTTCATCTAGGTTATCCAATTTGTTGGCATATAGCTTTGCATAGTATTCTCTTATAATTCTTTGTCTTTCTGTGGTGTCCATTGTAATTTCTCTTCTTTCATTTCTGATTTTATTTATTTGAGTCTTTTCTCCCTTTTCCTTAGTGAATCTGGCTAAGGGTTTGTCAATTTTGTTTATCTTCTCAAAGAACCAGCTCTTACTTTCATTGATCCTTTCTATTGTTTTCTCAGTCTCTATTTTGTTTATTTCTGCTCTGATTTTTATTGTTTCCTTCCTTCTACTAACTTTAGGCTTTGTTTGTTCTTCTTTTTCTAGTACTTTTAGGTATCATGTAAGATTGCTTATTTGAGATTTTTCTTGTTTGTTGAGGTAGGCCTGTTTTGCTACAAATTTCCCTCTTAGTACTGCTTTTGCTGCATCCCATAAGCATTGGTATGTTGTATTTTCATTTTTATTTGTCTCCAGGTATTTTTTGATTTCTCCTTTGATTTCTTCATTGATCCAGTGGTTGTTCAGTAGTGTGTTGTTTAGTCTCCATAGATTTGTGACTCCTCCAGTTTTTCTCTTATAGTTGATTTCTAGTTTCACACCATTGTGATTGGAAAAGATGCTTGATACGATTTCAATCTTCTTAAATTTATTGAGGCTTGCTTTGTAAGGCAGATGGTTTTGAATGACAAACTGAAGAGAAAAAGGATTATTTTAGTGGTGTAAAGGTGAAA